GTTGGCTACTCGTTAATATTTGCATGTTTAAATAACTACTACTAGCACTACTGTGTTTTACAAAATTTGAATGGTCATAAATAAGTTATTTAAAAAAAAATAAAAATCAGGGAAGTAATACATAGAAAGATGTATAACAATCAAGCAAGTCAGATATTCAAGGGCCCTATCAAAATGACGTTAGTCATGTTACCTCTTCAGTATTTATGTAATATACGCATTAATATGAAAATTCTTATATACACTTGGATGCACCGTGCATCCAACAAATTTGGGTTAGTTTTGTTTTTCATTTGATATTTAAATAAAAAACAATCGTTAAAATGAAAACAAAATACTTATGGGTGCATATGCACCTAAGTATATATAACAATTTCTTGAAGTAGTATTTTCCTTTATGAGCGAATTAAATTTTCAAGGGTCGTATTCAATACTTAACACTAAATCCTGTCTATATAATTGTCAAACGTATAAAGAAAAAATATAAGTCAATATGTTTAGACTTGTACAGTATAATAGAAGTTGAAAATTTTGGTTAGGCAAATAATTAATTTCAAAACTTTATTATGAGCCTAAATTGATGCATTTACGCTTGTTAATGGCAGGGTATAAGCTACGCAAAGCTTGCAAATTTGCCTCCTATAATTGGATTATGTAAGCACACTTAATCACTACATTACACTGCTAATCCTTGAATTTTCCTTGTTAATTAACTAATTTAAGACTCTAATTTCTGCAGATTCAAGTTTTGTACCACCATTAATATACTCTGTTCTTGGGAGTTCCAAACATTTGGGTGTTGGTCCAGTTTCCATTGCATCTCTTGTAATGGGTGCAATGCTAACCGAATTCGTCTCACCGGTTAACGACTCCGTCCTTTATCTTAAACTCGCTTTCACTTCTACTCTCTTTGCCGGGTTATTTCAGGCCTCGTTGGGCTTTTTCAGGTACTACGCGCAAAAACTTGTATATAAGGAGTGTATTATATATTAACTTAATTAATAGTCAACTTCATATAGGGGTGACACACTGACACATAAAGTAGTGGTTCTTTGTTATAAAGTTGTGTCCTTTTTTTTTAACAAAAAAATATAGATGATATGAAAGGAATCTATGTTTAATTTTCTTGTACTAGAAATACAAGTAAAGTTCACTAATTCAAAATAAATTCAATGAATTTTGTTAATGGGTATCTTTTACATTATGATATTGATGGGTTTTTAGTGTTGATGATTCGCGGTAACAATGTGCATTGTATATGTTTGATAAAATGCCTATGAGAAATTTTATTGACAAAATAATGGTTATGTAGGACTGTTGGAACATATATCATGTATTATGTTGGATGCTTTGACTGATGTCTAATCATATGATATTATAGGTTGGGTTTTATTATTGATTTCTTATCAAAGGCCACATTAATTGGATTCATGGCTGGAGCAGCAGTCATTGTCTCTCTTCAACAGCTCAAAGGGTTGCTTGGAATAAATCATTTTACTAGCAAGATGCAGATTATCCCTGTCATGTCTTCCGTTTTTAGCCACAGAAATGAGGTAACTTACTATATGATGTGCAATGTTACACGTATTATCGCGAACAAATGACAAGTACTATTACGATTTACATTTGAGCATGGTTTTGGCACCCTTAATGTCATGTTTAAGTCCTTAATGGTCAATAATTGATACGAAAATAAAAATAAAAAATGATGAAGCTCTACGTACTTCTGTTAATCGAAAACTTGTGACATGCTTCGTATTACATTTATTTACTAACACAAATACATGACCGCGCCAAGTTTGAGTACCTTCAGTGTATATATTTGATCAACATGATTGTTGAAGGGGAGTAAAAATTCTAGTACTCTGAATAATTTACTGATGATCATGTCTTTTTTTTTTTTTTTTTTTTTAAATGGTTGCAGTGGTCATGGCAAACAATTGTTATGGGGATCAGTTTTCTGGTTTTTCTTTTGGCAGCAAGACAAATTGTAAGCCATTCATTCATATCCTAGATTGTATAACATTATTCATGTGTATGTGTAAATGCACTATTGATGGTTTTCGTTATGTTATTTTCTTGTTTGTAATTTTGTTCTTGCTTCTATTTCTTTGATTTTCAGAGCACGAAGAAGCCTAGGCTCTTCTGGATATCAGCAGCGGCTCCTTTAGCATCTGTGATTTTATCAACCCTTATAGTATTTTGTCTCAAGTCTAATGCAGATAAGATTCCCAAAGTAAGGATGGTCACATTTTGGTTGCTTTGTTTCATTTTCATACTTTGTTTTTTTCGTTTTGGTTGACGTTTAGTTCTATCCATTAAACCTTGTAGTGCTTTTTTCCAATGTCCCTTACATGCCTCAAAAGGAATGTAAGTGGAACTTTGAATCTTAATAAACTTTTTTCAAAAGATTTGGAATCTCTTTGTCTTTCTTTAAACCAAAGTATGTGAGATTTGGTCTGTTGAATATTGGCCACGTAAAGTTATTGGGTGGTCCGATACCATGATTGTTGATAATTCATGTATATCAGGTCCATTTTTTTGCACTAGTGTCACATCTGCTGCCGTAGTAATGATTTTTAAGTCACTATATGTACGAAACGTTTTCATGATGAAACTTCAGCCTTGTTTGGTAATCGGTTTTGTTGGTTGCCTTTTAGTTGTACGTTTTACCAAAAATCTTGGTTAATAACCAACACTAGAACAAAACTACCTAACACTACCAGTTGATCAAACAAGCTTAGTGAATCAACCAACAATTGATTGTTGAATAAGAATTTTATCCAAGTTATTATTAGTGTTATCATGACAAATAAAAATGGCTAATATTATTGTTGATTTTATCCAATTATGTACAAACAGATAATAAATACCGTCATAAGCAACAATTTTGCTGATGGATTGTGTTAATTGAATTATTTTGTTCGTCGAACAGATTGGTCAACTGCCCAAGGGTCTGAATCCTCCTTCAGTAAACATGTTATACTTCCACAGTGCCCATGTTGCTCTGGTTGCTAAAACGGGTCTCATAACTGGTATTCTGTCTCTAACTGTAAGTGATGATTAGTTCCTTGCCTTCTTTAGTTCAAAGTTATAAATTCACCCCTGATTTGTAGTTCTGAAGTTGTGCTTTTGAATATATATTTTACGGATTTTCTACATTCCCCATCATGCTGAATTTCATAAAATTTGGTTACCTCTAGGAGGGAATCGCAGTTGGTAGAACATTTGCTTCATTGGAAAATTATCAAGTTGACGGTAACAAAGAAATGATGGCAATAGGCATAATGAACGTTGTTGGTTCATGCTCCTCATGCTACGTGACTACTGGTAAACTAAAATGGAGAAACTAATTGACTGATAAGAATTTTTGTATGCACATCTCATCAATCATCCTCATTTATCTAACTTTGACAATTACATATATACTTCCCAAACCTGTAGGAGCATTTTCTCGATCTGCTGTGAACTATAATGCTGGAGCTAAGACCGCTTTCTCCAACATAGTGATGGCAACTGCTGTATTAGTCACTCTGCTCTTCCTGATGCCCCTCTTCTATTACACTCCTAATGTTGTTTTAGCAGCAATCATTATAACAGCTGTTATTGGACTTATAGACTACCAAGGAGCTTATAAATTATGGAAAGTTGACAAACTTGATTTCGTGGCTTGTTTGAGCTCTTTTTTCGGCGTTCTCTTCATCTCAGTGCCTTCCGGACTTTCCCTTGCTGTAATTATATTCTCAATTTACAATTTTTTCGTCTGTTTTTAATATGTTATAAATTTAAATAATTTAATTGACTATCTAAATTTTCAGGTTGGAATATCAGTATTCAAGGTTCTCTTGCATATAACTAGACCAAATATTGTGACTTTGGGCAACATTCCAGGCACTCAAATGTTCCAGAGCCTTGAACGTTACAAGAATGCCTCGAGGATCCCATCGTTCCTTGTTTTAGGTGTCGAAGCTCCCATATATTTTGCAAATTCAACTTACCTCCAAGAACGGTAATTAGCATCTTCTTTTTTATATTTAACACTGATATATTTTTTGGTGCAAGTCTGTCCTTAAGTATCAGCTGAATTTTCTGCAGAATACTAAGATCTATAAGGGAAGAGGAAGATTGGATCAAATCCAATAGAGAGTCCATGCTAAAATATGTAATTTTAGACATGACAGGTACATTTTCATCAAATACTGCTTGAAAATTGGTTAACCTTACTACTTACTTCTTACCACCAAATGCTAACCAAAAAAGATTCGTCCACATTTGCAGCGGTTACAGCCATTGATACGAGTGGAATCGACACCATCCAAGAGCTCGGAAAGATCATCCAAAAGAGATCATTACAGGTAATTATCAGGAGCTAAGATTTGGTTGGCTTGGATTATTTCAAGTTACATTTAAATTTGTGCTCATTTTTTGGGAACAATGTGATTGTATTTCTTGCAGTTGACTCTTGTAAATCCTGTTGGGAGTGTGATGGAGAAGCTTCACAAATCAAAGGTGCTTGAATTATTTGGTTCTAATAATGGGGTTTACATGTCCGTTGGAGAAGCCATTTTGGATTTGACAGCTTCAAGGAAGGTAGAAGGCTTAGCTTAGGTTTGTGGCATCTAATTTTTCAGAAAGATGTAAGAACTCCATAATTTGGAGTTATTTCTCAACTAGAGCTAATTAAATCTTATATAAAAATATATTACAAACAAAAATTATGTGAATAATTTTGATCCAACTTGTTTGACATTCTTCTAGTCATTTTGAGTTGGTATATACTATCATGTTCAATTAGGGGTAAAAACAAGTATTAGGAATTTGCACAAAGTGGTATTATCAATCATACGCGGTATAATTATATGCAAATGTAACATCTTACATTTACTAATATTAATTAGGGAAATAGAAACAACATTCAATTGGTAGCAAAAGTTTTGCTAGGAAATGATGCTTGAAAGACTACAACAAATGGAATTTAAACCGCTAGATGATTTGATCCTTCAGTGTTGTGATGGTGATTTGTGGGCAACAACAGTTGCTCCTTCGAACTTTTTACCAACACCGCCTCCAATTCCGCCACCAACTCCCTTCCAAATGCCAACGCCAATACCTTTACCTATTCCTCCTCCAATCCCTTTACCATATCCACCTCCAATACCTTTGTAAACACCTCCTCCTACTCCACCACCGATTCCTTTTCCAATTCCTCCTCCTATCCCTTTATGGTAGCCTCCACCAACTCCTTTCCATATGCCTCCACCTATTCCACCTCCAAATCCTTTACCAACACCACCTCCAATTCCTCCTCCAACTCCCTTCCAGATACCTCCACCTATTCCTCCACCAATACCTTTACCTATACCACCTCCAATTCCTTTGCCTATTCCTCCGCCAACACCTCCAATACCTCCTCCAATTCCTTTGCCTATTCCTCCACCAACACCTCCTCCTCCTATTCCTTTGCCAATACCTCCACCAACACCACCTCCTCCAATTCCTTTGCCAATACCTCCACCAACACCACCACCGGTTCCTCCTCCTGAACCTCCTCCTACCCCTCCACCTGTACTTCCTCCCTTACTTCCATGTCCTCCACCACCACCGGTGCCACCACCAGCACCACCTCCATAGTAGCCACCCTTCCCATGTCCTCCAGTGCCACCACCGGCACCACCTCCAACACCACCACCCGTTCCACCACCAACGCCAGCACCACTTCCTGCACCACCACCAACTCCACCTCCAGAACCACCACCTACACCACCTCCAGAACCACCACCTACACCACCTAGTCCTCCTTTTCCGTAGCAATCAGGCTTGCCAGCTCCAATCCCAAACCCAATTCCTTTCCCAATCCCAAACCCAACTCCCTTCCCAATCCCAACACCCCAACCCTTCTTCCACCCTACTATGCCACCAAACACCCCACCACCACCAACTCCACCCAAAAACGTCTCTGGATTCTTCACATCTCCATCCTTAATCTTACTAACATCCCTACCCTCAACACCCAAAGAAGCAACCACTAAAGCAACAAGCCATAGCACTAAAGCTACCCTTCTAGCCATATCAACACACAACAACAAATGAGTAATGTATGAAAATTCTCTTCTTCAATATACACTACGCATCCTCTACTTCATGAATATATAATAAAACTTAACCCTAGACTACATTTAATGTCTTGATAATTTAATGTGGGGAGGTCCATGGAAGCAAGTAGTACAGTTGTATGATATTATCTTCTCTTCATGAATTACACAAATATGATTTTATGATACATGAATGATAGTAGTTGACAAAAATAAAGCTTTATTACTACCACGTCCAGGTAAGCAACAAACACTCGTCATGCATGCATGCATATTTACGTGAATATATATAATGTTAGTTGTTGCATGCATTTAATTACTGCATTCATGGCAGCACGTACTAACTAGCTAGCTGCCCCCGCCGGCCCGCCACCTTTGTAATAACCGCAAACTCATGAAAGTAAGCTAGGTTGTTGATGAACCTGCAACTAACTTTTTGTCGGTACATCATTTTACTTGAATTCCTAACTGTACAGTTGTACTCATTATGGTGTACTATTTTATGATCTACTTCAAAATAGGGAACATTATAAGAAAATGATATGATGGAATTGATAAGTGTATTATGTTACGATGAAAAAACTCGAATTGATTAAGTTTATGACTAATTGCACGCACTTATTATTGATATGACTTTGTCGTACTTTGGATGGAGGAATGAATTGAAGTATATGTAAACCTTAATTAGGCGACATTTTAATTAGTTATTACATCATGAACTATCATCATTGATGTCTTTTTTTGTCGTTTTGAAATTAAATTTAATTAATAACAGTCGATTTTATATATAATAATAAATTAATAATGATGGCATGCATATCAACATGTTTACTAGTAAGTTATTATATGCACATGTTGAAATAAATGCATTCCATTGCATCTACAGACGAAATTTGCAATCTAACAGGAGGACAAATTAGTTAGGCTATAGAGTACAACTGTACAAATTACCACTCACAATTCACAAACACAACCAAACCACATAAATATAAATATAAAGATATACGTACATATGTACTACTTGTAGTATGGAGCATTCAAGATCAAGAGTTAAAAATTAAACCTAGATTTTCTGTGGTTCTTAATTCAGTTCTTTTCTACTTCCCAAGAAAGATTTTTTTGAATTGGTTTTTAGGTATAAGCCACCAGTTTGGGGAACATTTTTTTTTTGAAAAACTGCTAATCCATGCAGTATATGCTTGGTTTTGAATTTTTCATAAGTTTGATTAAGATCAAGCCTAAAAGTAGGGGCCAAGCATTCGTACCCTAAACAAATTGGAACATGTAGGCCTATGACCAAAATAGCTATACAAATATTGAAAATCCAATTATATGGTCGGAAATTAAATCTATGATGTAACCCGGCCAAAATAAGGGTGAGCTATGGTTGATCAACTATACCCTAACCTGATTTCAAATAAACAATGTATTGGAAAGGTTATCAATTCTGTGTTGCAACTTTAATGAAACGGAGAAAGTATTTTTCATCCTAACAATAGCGAGTAAAGATCAACCACGTACAAGTCCTCTATCGACAATAATTGTCTAATTGAGAAGTGAGTTGGGTACTTGAGTGAGTAAAATCTGAGAGGTGGGCCTCATGGGCCTGGAAGAGTAAGGAAGTTAATACTGTCATAATAGCCCATTGGATTGAAGATATTAATTGAGTTACAAGTCTTACAACACATGTAGAATACAACCTGGCTAACATTAATGGTTGGTTTGTTCTTTTGGGATCATAAAAACGACAATTCACATTAGTAGACTTGCAGAGACAACTCAGATTAGGTCATCAAATTTTCTCATCTTAATTTGCAAATCCTCATCAACCATAGAAAGTATCTTCGGCACTTCCTAGTTCCTACATTGAAATTCTATCAACCCTTTCATAAGTAGCAAATCTTTAGCAGGTTGCTAATTTGTGCGCACAACAAGGCCATTGACTTGAATAAATTAATCTTGAACTTATGTTAATTATGTAGAAGGTTTTTGCAATTTAATGGTCAATTTTAGGTGTGTTAGCACAATAATATACATGTATGGAGTACGAAGGAAAAATTAAATCAAACCGAATAAATGAAGTTTCAAACAAAGCTTCTTTCGTAGAACTACACATAATAGTATGAATAAAGATACATGATATATCATGTGTATATGCATGATCAAAATCTTTTGCTTTTATTTAAATGCACGGTTGCGCGCTACTGAATTCAATTAGTGAATTGAGTTTTTAGTTGGAAAATTTGGTAAAAATAATTCCAACTTCTACTCGTTCGTTCAAAATAATTCCAACTTTGGATTATTTTTATATTATCCGAACTTTGGGGTTCATTCGCTCAAAATGGTCCCAACCGATCACCCAACCTGTTATAACAAGTTTAGGTGACACGTGGCACCACGTAATTGGTTAGAATTTTTTTTTAAAAAAAAGCTTAATTAATTTAAAAAATAAAAAACAAAACTAGCCCCACCCACGACTACCCTCCCCACCACCAGCCACGGCATCCTCCCGGAACCCCCATCCTCGTCGGTCGCCCAGAAACCCCTCCCCCGTGCCGACGTCCTTCCTCTACCGCCTGAACCACAAAACCCCTATACACCGCCAGCTCCGCCGCAACCACAATTCAACACCCCTATACACCGCCAGCCAAAATCAGCAATTCGCACAACAATAGCACCAATCTGCCACCCATTTTCTCCAATCCACCATCAATTATAGAAAGTCGAGTTCCGAAAGTGGGGGAGGGCTGGTTAGGGGGTTTATGCGATGGGGAGTAGTTTTTTTAGGGGTTTCGATTTAGGGTAAGGTGGTGGCCTGGTTTGGTGGTTCATGGGGTAGGGGGAAGGGTTGCGCCGACATTGGCGAGGGGGAGGTATGGGCGCTGGCGAGGGTGGGGGCGGGGACCAGGGCTCGGCTTTTGGGTGGGAAGACTGCCAGATAGGTGGATGGGGCTTTTTTTTGTTTTAGTTTTTCTTTTTTAATTATTTTTTCAACTAATCACATAGTGACATGTGTCAATTAGATAAATTAAAACTATTAAATATTTTACAGGTCACTTGGGACCATTTTGAGTGAATGACCATAAAGTTCGAATTATTTAAAAATAATCCATAATTGGGATTATTTTTACCAATTTTTCTTTTAAGTTTTCATTTATGATTTTATTGATTCAATTTGAACCATCTTATTATTTACTTGATTGACCATCTTTATTAGAAAAAACTTACTAATATACTTGTATTAATAAAAAGGTTGAATAATTTATACTCCTTTTTTTCATAATATAACAGATATAAGCTTCAACCATTATATTGTTTGTTGGATTAATATTCAAATTTAATCCTAAAAGTAATCATGTATATTTCACTTAAACCAATGTTTATGAATTCTATAGGAAAAACTCTTACATAATTGTTTACAATTTTTGATTAATAATATATAACACAATAGTTATACGTGCTTGATGAGAGTAACCCAAAAACAAAAAAATAAAATAAAATAAACTTCAAAAGGATGTATACCGATACTTTTATGTGTGTTTAAATTAGACTAGAGGGAAGTTGACTCTTTTTGTTGGTTTTCAGATTGATTTAGAGTCGAATGAATTCTATGTTAATCAATTTATCATGTAAAACAGGTCAATTCCATGAAAATTTAATTTCGGGTAGAGTCAGTTCATTTTTTCTTAGATTATTTCAAATACAATTCGGATATGAATTGATTCGTCGAATCAAGTCGTATTGTCAAATCTAATCTGCTTAGACTCTTAGAGCATGGAGTTTGGGCTTGAGAACTACTAATGGATCAAATTGTCAAACCCCCACAATAAGCTATCCAAAAAGCAAAAATTAAAATAAAAAAAAAAAAAGAAAAAAAGGTTAGTAAAACTGTCATCTACATTCTTCAATTATCAATTCTTCAGGTAGCTGTATTTCTAGGGTTTTTCTAGACACCAAAAATTCCCTGCAATTTCATCAAATTAATCAATTCTCCCTCAATTTTCGTCAATGGATCGCCGTTCGAACTACCCTTCTCGCCGATCAAAACCCCAGAAAAGCTACGCCGAAGAAGAAGATGATGACGATGAAAACGACGTCGTTCTTGGAGCAATCGACGATTCCGATGAAGAAGAAGATGACGACATCAATGACGAAGACTTCAACGGTCCCGGGCGCCGCCGCACATCCACTCGACATCGCCAAAAGCAGAGAAAGCTCTCTACTTGGAATTACCATTCTACCCCTAATTCTAAATCCTCCGGCATGGTTTCCGATTGGTCGGAGCAGGGTACTTTCGCCCTTTTGGAAATCTGGGGTGAGAGGTTTCTTCAATTGGGTAGGAGTAGTTTGAGGAGTGAGGACTGGAACGACGTCGCTGAGCGAGTTTCGGAGGCGACGCGGTCGAAACGCAGCGTTTCGGATTGTAGAAGTAGGTTAAATGCATTGAAGATGAAGTATAAGAGGGAGAAAGCTAAAGTGATTAGCTTAGGAGGTGGGAGTAGCAAATGGGTGTTCTTCAAGAAAATGGATGTTTTGATGACAATGTCACCAAGGCAATTGCAACAGCAAGAGCAATGTGGGTTAGCTTGTGGGGTTGATTCGGGCGAGTTCGTGTTTATGAACCCGAGAGTTTACTTGGATCATTCTAATGCGTCTGATGAGATGAGGGATAGTCCAGGGAATTCGGAGTCCGAGTGTGGGGAAGATGATGATGAGGAGGAAGATGAGGATGAGGAAGCGGCGGAGGAGTCATATAGGATGTTATCGGAGTCGATTAAGAGGGTTGGGGAGATATATGAGAAGATGGAGGATAGTAAGAAACAACATATGGAGGAATTGGATAGGATGAGGGAGGAATTTCAGAGAGAATTGGAATTGCAAAAGAAGGAGATGCTTGATCGAACAAAGGTTGAGATTGCGAAATTAGGACAAAAGGATGATCAGGAACAGGACAGTGATTGCTCTGTTGAGAATGTGTGAGAGATGAAGGTTGCTCTTAAACCCTTTTTTTTTTTTTGGGTAATTTTGTTATGTTAAGCACTTGTAATGTAGTTCTGTTGATTGTTGTGATAATGGAAGATATGGTAAGGTATAAATACATCCTATAAATTTGAAACTATATTGACATTATTGATGTCATTCTACTTCTATATTTGGTTTTGAGAATGTTGGCTGAAAATGTATATTATTATATGATGGTTGTGTATGCTTTAGCCTTGGAAGCAATGCATTCAATATTCTATTTGCTGAAGGCGTGTTGGTTGTTTTCTGCATCCTTTTTGAGTTTGCATTTTTGTGCTCGAATTCGTGGGCTTAACTTGAGGAAGAGAGGTGATATAAAGGTAAATTAACTTGCTGTATAGATGCAATTGGAGAGAGAGAGAGAGAGAGGGAGAGAGAGAGAGATAGAGAGAGGGGGATTGTTCTTCAGTAATCTCCATGCTCGTTATACAGCTTGAAATTCAAATTGAGATTTTCTGTTCATTTTATTGACTAACATAAATCTTACCTTGAGAGTACCAGATCTTTGTAATGTGTAACTATTATTTATCTCGTTTCCACCTGTAGCTCTCTGCAATGATAATAGTCATAGTACTAATCTTAACTTTTACTTGTCTCAGTGGATGCGAACGGAAGGGCAAATATGATGAGGACTGCTGTATGTTTTTCGATGGGCTGGCTTGATAGGTGCCTTCTGTGTGCAGAAATGTCTAAATGTGCAAAGCCTCAGGGATGTTTCTGTTTGTATCTCTAACATGCTTTTTGATTGTCCCTTTAGCTTTTGATCTATGTTTTGCTTTGGTATCAACTGGCAAAGCATTAATTTAACAGAAATGTACTGTTATTAGCAAAATTACAGCAATAGAAGAACTTTCTTCAGCATCAGCTGGTTGCTATTTAATATTTCCATCTTGTTTTTTTTATCTACATTTATTTTTTTCCTTCCTATTTCCTCTTGTTCTCGGGAATTTCCGTATTTCTGGCATCTAAATGTGCTGGATAAGTTAATTCTAAAGATTTCTGGTTTGCATGAGGCTAGTTCTCTATATTCTGCTACCAAAATATATGAGAGAAATTGAGAAGAAAGCACGAATACATCTCCTCTTCGATTATATGTTGAATAAGAAAGGTATTCTTCTGACCATAAAACATTATCACGGAATATATGGAAACATCTCCCCTTCAAGTGATGGAGCTATCCATTGAATTTGGATGTAAGTAATATCCCAAAAATCATCATTTTCTCTTGGCTCTAGAACTCCTGTGTCCTTCATTACTGCAATTATCTTCTTCAATAGTTCTGGGACTACTTGCTGCATTCTTGATGGGCCATGCACACCCAAATCTGCTTTCACGCAGGTGTCCATCCTTCTTAACAGCCCTAACCAGAAACTCCTGAAACCTGGATTTTCTGATATTGTCTTTAAGTATAGCAAAAATACATCAGTTAACAACTCCATTGCGTTTTTCAGGGTACCCTCCATGCTCCTCATTTCTCTCTCCGCATTCTCTCTTCTCGAGTAATCCAACATTTTTTCATGCAGATCATCAACCATAGCAAATATTACATGATTGAAGAAGATGATGGTATTAGTTGATGTCAGCTCTAGATCTCTGGCTAGTTCAAAGCTCTTTTTCAGACTTGCTACTGCGTGGTTTCTCACTTCTTCACGTCGTGCTAGACTGGTCTTTCTTAAGGCTTCTCCTAGCTTGACAAATAATTTCATCTTGTCTTCGGAATTGCTTGTGATGCTTCCATTGCTGATACTGCTTCCAGGGTCAGAGTTATCTTTGTACCATTGAATCAATAATTTGACAGAATTGGCCATTAGATCCATCATCTGTATGTTCTTCTCCACCAGGCTGGTTCTCAGGGCAACAAAACCAAAAGCACAGTCAATGCAATATGCATAATTGGTTCTGGTCATGTTTTTCCCATCAGACAATAGCTGAATTATTGCCTTGACTGCCTGATCATAGTTTTCAGGAAGTCGACCATTGGCTGACAGCAATTGCAGAAGTGTTTTCCACCCGATTGGGGTTTGTACATTACCTGGGAATTCAGTTAAAATTTTGCACACTGTTTGAATGATGGTTTCACAGCAGGTATCAAGAATTTCCTTGTCAAGTTTCCACATCAAACTTATTGATTTGAACATGACTTCTTCAGCATACTTGTCAGTTTGGTAAGAAGAAAGGAGCTTGACGCACAATTTAAAAAGTATCATTGCTGCTTTTTCAGCAAATGGCACAGGAGAAAAAAGAGGGAATTGAGTAACTGCACCAATATAGTCGTAGTAAGCAGGCCAGAAACTGGAAAATCTGTCAATGTTCGCATAAGCAATGGCTCCTACTATATCCCAGCAGAAAGTGACAGTTTCTTCCTCCTCAAGTGCTGTAGTGAATTTCTGCCCTTTTCCTGCTGCTGCGAAGATCAGAGTTCTTCCTAGATTCAATAATGTGTCTACAGGTAATTTTGATGAATTACTAAATATATTCCCAATTTTGCACTGTTGTATGATTTTCAGGTTTTGTTCAAACTCACTTCCACCAGGATTTAGTGACTCTTCATTACTATCCAATAAAAAATGTGAAAGTCGGCCGGTTGCCATGGAGTTGTTTCCTCTGCTACTCCCGAATTTAGAATCCTCGCTGATGTTCCTTGACTGTGACTCACCCTCTGTTGCCACTAAGGTATCGTAGTCAACCACAGATTGGGGGAGTAGCTTAAGCCTCTTGAGTTTCAACATACAATCAACTATATTTCTCCAAGCTCCTCTGATTGATTCTCCGAATTTATTTGCAATGTTGAAAACGGCAAGAGTTGCCATTCTTGGCTTCAGTTCATTAGAAAATAGATATAGTGTCTCTTCTGCAGATGCATATGGATTCAGCAGGGTGGTGAATTTGCAAAGTGAGGCTACAAGCTCATCAAGGATGTCTTCTAGCCCATGTCGTGCAATTCTAGCCACTGCAACCATTCCTTCTATGCACTCATTAAGGACTTCATCATCGTCAGCATGCTCAAAAATTGCAGATAGAGCAGAAACTGTAGGACCTGCAATACTTCCAAACATGTCTCTGCCTAGTCTATGATCAAAGTCGCATACAATGAAGGGATTAATGAATTTGGATCGACTTATCAACTCAACCCAACGGCTAGGGTTCATCTCAACCAAAGAAGCCGACTGAGCAAAAATGGCAATTGCATGTGTGGCAATAGATTGGAAAAGTTCTGATAGATACTCCCTAGGAAGGTCCTTCCCATTATTTATAGCCCTGTTATTTCTGATGAACTCTTCCTCTGTCATCTTTTTTTTTACTTGTGGATTGTGCTGGTCTGTGTTTAACATGATGAGAGAGTAGCAAAGGATAAACACTGCATCCTTGGTTTCAAAGAGCTCAGATGATTGCTGATTAAAAAATCTTTCTGAGAAAGCCTCTAGAATCCTGTGAATTTTTTGGGACTCTCCAGGCAGCCTGAAACTCTCTAGATAAGTTCTCAATGCAGTGTCAAGAACAAAGCCTGTAAAATCGAATGTGTTTGTGAATTCGTTTAGCACTTGTAAGTGAAACTCATCTGGGTCACCGAGATAATCTCCTATTGCAGTCTTATTGAGCCCAGGAGTAAAGCGAAAGAAATAGGCAAAAGCTTTTGCATCTGGTGGATTTGGAATTAAGTGTGAAATTTTAAGGTACTCTAGACCTTTTTTCTCATCTTGATTGAAATGGGTTCCTGCAATCAATAGTTTCTTCTTTTGTGCTTTCCTCAATCTTAAAATATGTACCCAGTTTTCCAAGTTGTCGTCCTTCCTTAATGGCTCTTCCCAAAAGGGAGAATACTCTGTAATTTCAACCTGAAATGGTTCGAAGGAAACTGTGTTATCTCCATTGTTTACTTTATCAGCGATGGCTTGGATGATTATGATTAAGCCTTCAAAGGCTTGAAGTTGCAAGCTTGTCAAAGGGGTAGTCATTGGAAATGCCAGTTTGCAAAGGAGCTTGCCCATTTCCTCAAACACATTGCAGCACATGAAAGCGCAGTCATAGTTTACGTAAGTCTCTATTAGAAATGTGGGTTGTCTACAGAGATTGATGATACCTTCCAGTGCTACTTCTTGATATCGCACCGAGCTGCCAAATTTTGCAACTCTGAATAAAACAAAGGTGAAGAATGCTTCAAGCTGGAGCCTAAGTGACCTGCAAGATCAAGGAAACATTTCAATTGTGGTATTTGGTTAGGAATTTTATCTAACTTTCTCTATGCATTGCTTTACTTTAATATGCAGGCTCTTTACCAATTTATGGGGCTGGATAACTTGATCCAATATTAATGTTTTTATTCCAAAACAGCCCCCTGTTTTGAAAGGAAAATCAATGCACCTAGACAGCTATTTTATATAGTTAAACATTCTTGAATATAGATTTATCATTGCTCGGAAATCAAGTTCTAACCCGTGTAGGAAATTATATGAGTTCAAGACAGTGCTGCAAATCATTGACAAGATGAGGGCGCTAGAACGAGTTCCATAATGGATTAAATGATGAAATAGATCATCCCCGATCATCCTACGTAGTTTTGGATGCTTGGAAAATCCATCGCCACTCAATTCCAATGCTGTGTTAATCAACATCAAAGCCAGGATCTGGATATCCTCATCATTGCTCTGAGATATGATCCCATCAATCTCAACTGTCTGCACTACATTCAACAAGGAACATAAGAACTGAAAAATGTCCACCACACATCGAAGACCAAATCCTTTATTCACAATGTCATTGTCATCCAACTCTTCTGACTCAGACTCAGAATTCTCCCCTTCCTTCACTTCTATGCTATCCAGCCTTGAGAACACAATTTGTGAAATCTCAAGCATAACAAATTTAGCAGTTCTTTGGAGCAAGTTTCCTCGGTTTGATGATTGCTGCACGACTTGGAAGGTTGTGTTAACCACCCTACAAACACACTCGTCTTTGAGAAGGCAAGAGCCTGGGTGCATCATTATGTTGTTAAGCAGCAGCAGGACCTTCATAAGAATCCCTTCCTCGCTAAGTGGATCTGTCCTCTCGAGCCTGCAGCTTGTAGTGGAGATAACCAGGGCATTCATGGCCTCCTGAGCCCCTGGTGTTTTCTCGTCGAATACTTGGATTTTTAAGAGCTTGATGAGCGAGGAGAGAGCAATGTTTGTCGCTGCTGCAGGGACATCGTCGCTCTGTATTACATCTAGGAAGGGGGACAGGTATATTGAAGGATCTATGTATTGCCATTCTTGCTGAGGATTGAAAATGAGAGATCTCAATGATTTCAAGGATTGTTGGAGGATTGCAGTGTCATGGTAATTATCTTCTGCGGCCGATAGCTCGATACTGTTTCTTAATGCTGCTAAAACTGAACCTACTTCTGTGTTAATGGTGCATGAAAAACCAATATCTTTCTTCATCTTTTTGGTCATGGCATTTTACTTTCAAGAAATTGTGATTTTAATTTTAGGTTTATTTTTATTTTTATCTTTATTCTTTTCTTTCTATATATCCCTTTCTATTTGTTTCCATGGGTTTGTTTACTGGTCAAAACTGAGAGAGTTAGCTGCATAATTGATGAAAAACGAGCGTACTATTTGCAAAACAAGTGGTTGTTTATTAGTCTTCACGTTAATCTTTATTTTTAACGAATAAGATTGGATTTGTGGCTATAATAACTAAACTAAATCAAGGAATTTTACCTTAAAATTCTCTTCGATATGTTGTCATTAGCCACACATTTAAAAATTTAATTTTAATTTCTATGAATTTATAATTATATAGAAAATTCAGAAAGATAAGAATTGTTTGCCATTTTATCCGTTTTAGATAGCAATTATTAGAAAATAAAGTTTCTCAAGAGACCTTTCATCTATTTCAAAATAACTTTTTTAATGTCTGTTCATGGACAGTTGGGCACATGTTAAGTTATAAAAAAAATTATTAAAAAAGGGAGTGAATATGAAAATCGTGAGTCCAAAAGGAAAATTTATGAACTCCCTCATTTTATAATTTATTTCATTTGATTTATAGAATGAATTATATTGATAAAGCATCTTTTAAAGGTTGACGCCCATGAACACACATTAGAAAATTCATTCAACATAATAACCTTTTTGGTATATTTGATGAATTCGTGAATATTAGGAACTTTGATGAAAACAAATTCTATAATCATGCTTGCATGGGTTAAGCACCATTTGCGTATTTTCTTCAACACATGTAAGTGAAATGGATTCTGTCATCAGAAAAAAAAAAAGTGAAATGGAAAAAAAAAAGCTCTTCAATAACCAAAGTTGTCATTTAGTTATGTTGATGGATCAACAGATTGTTAAGAATCATTTATTGGCGTGCACACCATCAACATTGTAACCAAAAAAAAAAAAAAAAAAACTGCGCAACTTTTACGTGTACTTAACAAATATCTTTTTTTTTTTTTTCTTAAGACAACTTAACAAATATCTAAATGTGTGTAAATGTCAAATAATGTACCTGATACGGGTTTGACAATTAAATGTTGTCTGTGGTTTGTGGTGTAATCGCAAACCACAGGCGAAAAAGCTAAAATACATGCACAAAATAAGAGAAATAGGACAAGTAGCAAGCAACTATACATTAATAGCCTTTACACCAGAGTACATACACTCTTCTAAACCTTACACCAAACTAATTACCACTTCAGCTTACATACATTTCACCTGGCACAGGACCTAAATCAGCTCATAATACCTAATGAGAACATCTCCTGAAACCCCTAATGGCTTATAAATAAACAATGCATTGTTCTATAACGGAGCCGTAGAGTTCTTATATGAGGTCTTTAGCTCATGCCATAAGCAAAACAGGGTATCATATGTATCATCATCAAAATTACTGTCTTCGCAACATGCCAGAGAAAGTATGGTTTTTAGCCATTGTTCATGAATGGTTGAGAACTCTGATCTTTGCTCGCTTGACTTGAAGCTGTTCCCTATCATTTCTTTCATCACCTCACCAGCAGTCGAAGCAGATTCAACTACTTGCTTGGGTATACCAGCCATAAGAGCCACTTGTAAGCCATAGCTTGAAGGACAAGCTCCAGTTGCCAGGCGGTAGACAAACACCAAATCAAAGTCCTCTCCAGTGGAGGATCTTGGTTTCATAGCACAAGACATGTGTTGCAGAGAAACATGAGGATGGGACGCGAATTCCTTTGTTAGCGGGTGGTAATGAGTGGCAAACAGCAAACGACAGTTCACCTTCTCAATTAGATGGCGAAACACCTGCAGAGAAGACCAGAAAGATTGATTTATCAAAGATACGTAACTATACTAAATTCTAGTTCTCAAAATAGACTAATTTCTGCCAACCAATGTAATCAAGCAAAGCAGGACAAGACATTGATCACATATGACTAGCTACTGTTCCCTTCCATGACAGACTATTCAGAACTTCCATTACGTCTACTCACAATTATTGATTTTACCGTAAAAGACTCATTATTCTGTCCAGTTTGATCTCTGAAAATTATAAAAAAAAAAAACTTTGTTGGTGATGTGTGAATCCATCTGCGTGGGTGCCAGTGTGTCTTAAGCTGCAATGCATTTTAATCTCAGACATCCGCTTGTTGAATAACAATTAACAACGTCAGCACAAAATCCTACTTTTTTTGAACAACACGCTAATCCATCTAGTGTTCATTTAAACCATTAGGTTACTCCAAGCCTTGACTTTCAGGAGCACATAGCAACCTATAGTCCACTAATTCTAGAACCCACTTGATGTGGATCCACATGACATTAAGCTTCAGCAGTTTAGCATATGCGAGTAATGCAATTGACAAGGTATATATTACATATACAACAAACTAATTTAGAAGCTTGGCACATCATGTAGACCTTTTTTTTTTTTCTGAAAGCCGGACATGTAGACCATTTAAAGCCAAGGCAGAATATTTCATTTTATGACCACTTGCTAAAAATTGTGGTTGAAATTGAGAGTTTATAGAGTTCCTTACAGCATATGCTATGGCGTATCCATCAAAAGTACTTGTTCCTCGACCTAGCTCATCAAGAAGGACAAGAGAATCTTGTGTTGCATTTTGGAGAACTGATGCTGTTTCCGCACACTCAATGTAAAATGTACCTGCAGATTATTTCAGCACCATTAAGATTCAACAGTAAATTTTACAACTCAGTACCCTGAAACAAGATGATGCATATATGAATAACCGAAAAAGTGATATCACAGGGAGCTCAACCGTTGAGAAGTATAACATGATATGCAGGGAGCCTTGTCAAAATACAAAAGCTTTTTTATAACTCTAAAGCAAAAGAGTTTATGTGATTGGTTATACATTTATATCAGGCAGTATTACACAGAAATGGATAGCAATAGCCAGCTTAAAGATGAGCAATGATTTTCTAGGCAAACCAGATAACTTATCATAAAAAAAACAAATACGACATAACCTATAATATTAACATAAAAGGAAAGTTCATATTATGTCAGTGACAAAGCACAGAAGCCAGTAGTAGACCAAGAGTGCATTGTTTGAGATTTGGATGCACTATCTTCTTAGCAGTCCATTATTGATCAAGACAGGTAGACAGACAATGTAGCCACAAGCAACTGCTTCCTGGGCTGAAGGCTTATGACTTGGACCATTAAATGGCAATCCAATCAACTTATATCTAATTGCATCAGAGACTAAATCAAGAAAATCACTGGGAAAAGCTGTCATGAAACTTACTTTCACCGGTCATAATCCGATCAGTTGCACCAAGCCTTGTGAAAATAATGTCAGCAACTGATAGAGAACAAGTCTCACATGGAACATAGCATCCGAGCTGAATGAAAATTTAAGCAACAAAATTAGAAATATGTGCCATTTAGAGTACTTCATTACAATAGTTGGACAGGCAGTCCTTTATTTAACTAAAAATAATTCGAAGTATATAAGAACCTGTGCCAATATAACAGCTAGACAGGCAGCACGCAAGAGTGTGGATTTGCCCCCCATGTTTGGTCCAGTCAACAGCAAAGTCCGCGGAAGATGGCCATTTGTATCCTTACCCAAAACTATGTCATTTGGCACAGGCAACCCACCACTTTCTCTTAGGGCAAATGGATGCCACAATCCTTTGAACTTCAATGTAGGTCCTTCATTATTTTGGCAAACAGTAGAAGTAGACTGGGGTAATATAGAAGGTCGGCACATAGATCCACTTGAATCAATAGCAATGGTGGCGAAAGATCTTAAGACATCTATGCAACAGAGAGCAAATATTACTTGAGACCATTGACTAGCTTTTTCAACAAACAGCTCAATCAAAATAGAAAGTATCTCCGCATCAGCTTCTGTCACATCATGATCCTGAAATGTTTGATAAACTTTTAGTTAATAAATAAAAGATACATTAACAAAATTGGATTCAGCCTTTCAGGCACAAGAAATACGATGAGAATAAGTATAGCAGTAAAGGTGACTTATTCTACTAAATATATGATGAAAGCATGGTTTTTGGAAAGGAGGCCTCTACTGTATCTTCGGTGGATAACATGACAAAAAGGAAGGGGCATTTCTAAGATTAGGAAAAACAGAAAGCTTTTGAGATCATTCTTGTTTTCGTATCTCAAGCACCTAATGCAAAATTTTCTAAAAACCAAAATGCGCCAATCTGAAAGAAACTGACCTGATACTTGGGAAAGTCACTATCTATAGCCGCTTCAAACTGGCTAAGAAACTCACTAAGCGCATTGTGCTCACTAAGCGGGGGTAGGTCCAGTATTTTCGATAGCAGTGACATGAGATGCTCTTCATTGTATAGCACATTCATTAAGTCCATCCCAATCCGCAAACCTTTAACAATCAATCCAAATACTTTGACCTGCACCATATTAAACATTCAAACATAAAGCTTCTATATATGGTAATTTCTCCGCAAAAAGGCAGCAACACATGATGAATAATACTTCGTAATTGATTAGCCAAGAGGCCCAAAACACAACTTTAAGGAACTTAATGATATACTTTGCCATTTCAGCAATGTGGTAAGACACAAGCTGACCATGTATAGGATAAGATTGAATCCTCCTCTTTTAAGATTTTGTTTGGTGCATAAAAAAAAAATAATAAAAAAAAAATTAAAAAAAAAAAGAAATAATACTAAAATTTTAAAAAAGGAACTTATGGTAGAGAATCTTCTCTTAACTCATCAGAGAGTTCATAAATAAGGTCACTTTTCTCCATTAACACATCTAGCTCCCTAGAATGTCTAGGGTCTTAATTCGTGGTAAATGCATTGGATAGCAAGCTGAGTCAACTGGCTACATATAACAAGCACAAACTTCTATGATTACATACTGATGCAAATACTTAAACTAAAAAATGACCATAGTGAAGCACTCCAGATTCCATAAAACTACAAACATTGGTGAAGTGAGCAATGGAGTCTGTAACAAATTGACAGGATTATGCGTTAACTTTAAAAATGAAAACTTTTAATTTTTCAGAAAAACGTCAACTTGATTTCACAAGCTACGAAATCAATCCTTCCACTAGCAAGCAGAGAAGATAAAATACATGATTACACATAATAAGCCAATTGTAAATATCTAAATTTCTATATAGACTACAAATATCAGGACAGAAGGTTCAGAGCCCTCACATCTTCACAAAAATTCAGCACTTAAAAAGATGAAATGAAATATATTTCAGTCATATGACATGGCTATGTCACTTGAACTAGGGTATAATGTTGACCACAAGTACTCATGTTGGACATGGGCAGTATACAGGTATCTGACACAACTATTCACAATTTCGGCCGAAAATCAAGTGTCAAAGTGCCCATACCCTTGCATGAGTGCCAAAAATCCAACTAGGTACTTGAGGTGAAATAAAGAGCCCAAGTAACATAGACGCCATCTGTTGAATTGAAAACCCTTCTTCAAATCCGTCATGACATTGTTAGTTAATTCTACATGTTATGTAATATTGTACTTATTTTTGCCTGACAAAAGCATCAACTCAGACACATCAACAGAGTTGTTGAATAAATAAGGTTGGTTAACTCAGTTTCACAAAGGGAGAGGTCTCAAAATGCACGAATACAATTGAGACGGTGCAGAAGAAACAAAATAGAAGCGGCCTTACCCTCTGTTTCAATGTTTTCTTTCCTACCAAGGGCAACGTCAGTATAGCTTGTGAATGAACCATAGCTTTAACCTTACCAAGCAACCTTTCCAGGTCTGGAATCTTGCGTAAATATTGTGCTATGATTAACATGATTTCAGAACGCATAATTAAGGCCTCAACAACATTCAGCCGATTATTGATTTCATCAATGTCTTTTAATGGATGACAAATCCAGCTCCTCAGAAGTCGCTTCCCAGAAGGAGTTATACAGTTGTCAAGATATTTGAATAATGTACCTGAAATCAAAAGAATTTAACTCTTAATATACACATTGAAGCAGCATGATAACGTTAATCGTTTTGATACATTCAAGTTCCAGAGGATCACCAACTGAACCACCATCAGCGTTGTTCTGAAAAACCTCAAGATTAATAAGTGTCTGCCCATCCATTCTGAGGCAACCTCTATATACTTGGTATGGCAACACATCTCCATAGCATAAAACGTCATCCAACTATAAAAGAAAGCAACAAGGATTGCAAAAGATGCTGACAAAATTGTACTATAACAAACAAATTAAACAGTAAAGTAGTAAACATACCATCAACCTTGATAAATGATCAATGAGACCGCCCAAAGCACGCAAGGTAAATTCATGATTTGTTACACCATCAAGCAGATGATCCCAGAGGTTGCCAGAATTTTTGAAGTATTTCTTTGTCTGGATCACAGCCTTCACTTCTGCGGCTTCCAAGAAACCATTAACTGGAAGCATGGGTGTGATTTGTACACCCATGGAACCTGAAACCATTAATAAATTTAGGGATACTCCATAAAAAAAAAATATAGGACATCACTGTTAAAGTGGTAAACATATAGCCAAAATATCAGTGTTTGCTACATCTTTGACACCCTGACTCAATATCCTGCCATAAAGAGGAGTAAGACTGCAACAGAGCTGAGCCAGCTCAGTGAGGCCCCTCAGTAATCAACTCTGTAGCATCGTTACTCTAGCCGCAAAATACAAAGGTCAAGGGTAGTTCCTAGTTAGCTTTGATTCAAATTAAATGTTTAGTGGGAAAAGGTATATGTGAGCATTATAGATTCCTGGCCATTATATTGGTGAAACAAAGAAAAAGTTATTTAAAAAAAATAAAAATAAAAAATAATAAAAACCTATTTATGCTTTGACTATACAACCTTTCTTAAATCTCCTTTGTTTTGGTTTGCAGTACGTAATTCTCAGAATACATACATATGACTAGTCACTTATGACATTGACGAACAAACTCTATCTCCAAGAGAGCTAGTACAGAAAATATAGCAATTAATGCTGAAAGGGAAAGTCTGTTATAAAATAAAGAATTATCCGAAAGCAATCTTCTTTAAATATACAAGATCAGTAGTAAAACCTGTAGATGAGTACTTTTTGAGCACTTTCTGAGCTTCTCTTGATAATCCTGTAAAAGAATTCACAGGTGAGGGAGGAAAAAAAAAATCATAAAAGTATACTGACGGAGACAACCACAAAATAATACTTACCTCTACTTTCATAAATAATTTCCTTTGGTGAAACCTAGAATCAAAAAATTAGAGAACCGGAGTAAAATCTCAATTGCACAAGTCACACATCCATAAGAGGATTTATCATGAAATTCAAGATCATACTTGCATCAACAAGGCCATAAGAGCAGCACAGGATGCATCATCACTGACAGAACCAATCCAAATCTTCAATGCAGCACAATCAACAAAAGCAAACCCATATACTGAAGTACCACCATCCACCCCACAAGATCCCTGCAGCATTTCAAAATAAAATGATATATAATCTAAAATCTGGAATAAGAAGAGTGAATTAAATTAGCTGACTTCAAATCGACAAACCTCCTTTATTGCCAGAAGATGGACAGCATCAGGACCGATGGTTTCACCAGCTGCTGTTGATGGTGTGATCACATTGACTAACTTTCTAGGGATAACCTGAAAACCATGAATATAATTAGTTAAGGATATAATTGTCACGACAAGTCGACAAACTCAAACTAAAAGAGACATAAGAGTATTCTGCAATAATAAAGAGAAGTGAGCATTAAAATTTCATGCAAAAGCTCTTGAATGAATTGTCTTAGGTGTTCCAGTTAGTCAACCTTCCTCTACATGGCCATTTTTTAGTGGTATTCATGCTTTATTCCAGTCACCAAACAAGATTCCTGTTTAACATATGATGAATTGATGATTATGACACAGGCGGAAAACAGAACATTAGAGGTGCAAACCTGATCTCTGCACTTGCTATACTAATCACTTCTCTAACAAGACCAGTTTCAAGAACCAAAAGTAGTGTGAGGAGGAATTAATAAGATAGATGGATCCATAAAAATAGCAGTATCCCTTATACTTCCATGATGCTATTGAACTGAACCATGAACACAGTTAATAAAGTTGATCACCCGTATCCGATAAATTGCATTACTACTGTATGACACTGATGAGGTCATAAAAAGTTCAAAGAAATTAATGTTTCCCATCTAGAAAAGCTATCTATGGAAAAGAAAAAAAAAATTATCAAGTATTTGTTTCACACAAAGCCACATATTCCTTGCCAGTTTTCTTGTGACCTGTGTGCTGTTAAACAAAAATAAATTAACTTGACTCATCTTAATAATCTTCATGCACCAAACTGCTTGTTTTTTGGGTAGGCAAGATGAAATTCATCAAGAGAAGTAATTGGAAAATATGAGGTTGGAAAGATAGGAACCAAAGTCCAAACACAGATGATGTCATAAATAACACAACTTTCAAACCTTAAGACAGGCCCGAGAGGACTTACAGCATTTGCACCCCTTGCTTTAACTTGATCAGATGTCTCTAGCTGCTCTATTCGTCCAACTTTATACCTTCAATGACAAATTTTCAAATTTCAAAATAAGTAACACAAACAAGCAATTTACACAAAAGTGAAATTTTTACATATGCCTCCACAAAAGCATGTGATTATGTGAAGGAAAGAAATGGTTTGTTCACATGAGCAATCTCCAAAGTCCAGAACTATGGAAGTTCTACAAAAGAGAAACATTCTACGCATAGAAAGTCTTGAATTGAAAGGTGATAGATAACAAGACTATTGATATAAAAATAACCCCAATGAAGAATTGAACAAGCCGAACAATAGAAAGCAAGAAGCTAATCGGGCTGAATACTTTAGTACTCCCTCCATTCCTTAATGTTAAACCTTATTTGACTGTTAATAGCTTAAATTACGTATTACTAAAAATATTTTTTAAAAAATAATAATTAGATATACGATGAATCTAAAAAGAAATAAGATTCATCAAAATATTTTTTTTTCCTTATAGATTAATGCAAATATGTGGTCAACATTTTTAAACATTGCCTCTCAGAAAGCAAGTGGAGCAAACTTCAAAGGATGGAGAAGAGAGTATCAGATTTTTATAGCAAATTATATTGTTCTTTTGTGGACTAGGAAAAAATAATAATCAAACAAACAATAAACAAAAAGCCTCTCAGCATTTTTCTCAAAGAATTCAATATGAACCAAAATCTAAGATAATGTAGAAGAGGAAGAGATAACTCGAAAAAATAATCACAAATTTAGGGCAATTTTCCACTCAACATAAGAAAAATAGTAGTTATATGTAGACTAACACACATTTCAAACAATAATGCTGACAAACCAGATAAAAGGTAGGCAACAAAATCATACATCAAAAAGTATATATTCACCTTTTTGCAGCTTCACCAATAAAAATGGTCAAGATTCACACAGATATGGGATTAAAACAGAATAAGCAACATTTACGATTTATACACAAACAGGAAGGAAATATAAATGAGTGAAGCTTAGATTTCCCTACCCTCGAGCAACCAACTTCTGCACAGCATCATCAATGCCATTTTCAGAAATACCAACCTGAACAGAGGGGACAAATAAATGTCACAAATTGACTAAAGCCGCTAAACCAAGAATTTGCAACTAACAAATAGTAGAAGAGCCAAATATACCTGTCTACATTTCCCCACACCACTATTGGTCAGTTTCCAATCCAGTTCCTTGTGCCCTATGTCAGCATCTAGCTCATATAGTTCATAGAATTTTCCCTACATGGTGCAGTATATTAGCCAATAATATCAAAAGAGAGAACTTTACCATAATATAAACAAATTTGTGTTATTAGCCTACACACTATCAGAGAAAATCCAGTTAAAACTGGAACATACCACTTTAAAGAAGAGCAGCACATCCATATATTGACATTTCACACTCCAGTACTGTTTCTGTGATGCTGACATTTTCTTTAAGACGTCAGGTGGTATATATAGTGTCCTTTTATCATAAATAGGATCGCTGGGCCTTCTTCCATTTGCATCCCTAATTTTTGAAGGATGGAGCCACTCAAACTTACTAGCTACTTCTATAACCTCCTGAGGACTCTTGTTTACTGGTTTTGAATCTTCAGCGAATTTCACTCTTTTGCTAGAGTTTGTCAGGTTGAAATCACTTTTATTGCCAAAATTACTGCAGTCCTCTTGAATTCGCTTTAGGCGTGGAACAAAGGGCCGGCCCAATGGGGTTTCTGGTTCAAGATTAATGAAGTCACAGTTGCTTTTCACTGAATAGTCCTTGTTAAGCGACCCATTAGAATTATTTTCAGGAACCTTACAAGAGCCAGATTCCTTGGGCACTTTGTTGCATTCATTAAACATATCAAACATTGAGCAAACAACCGAAGATCCACCATTGTCTTGGTTCCTGCAAGGGTCACAACTCAAATGAATATATTGCAAATTTGCAAGTACAGGATAGGCTAATTCAAAATTAAAAATTTAAAAAGTAAATAAATAAATAAACAAAAACTAAGATAATGATATTCTATAGACAAAATTGCCACTAAAGACAGTCTGCACAAGGCAGAAAACTAAAATATTCCACATTTCAAATTGTAACAATACCATACTTGAGCTACTGAAAGCATAGACTATGAGTGGCTAAGTCTTTCTGTCTTTCATTACACAAATTGTTAAATATTAAGGAATACATTCTAGATTTCGATTTTGAAACGTACCATTCTAATCATCCGATTTGCTTTTGGAATTGACATTTCGCAAATAAATTTAAATTTCCATACTTCACTGAAGATTATGATTTAAACACAACACAAGAAGCCAAACAATTTGAATGAGAATGAAGTAATTTAACAGATCATGTCAATTGTCAAAATCCTTCAATGAGCTCAGACTAAATCCCGAAACAATTGAAAAAACATTTCAAAGCAATTAACAAAAGTAGCAGCTATAAAACGCCAATATAATAACAATTGAATCATAAATCAACAAAAAAAATAACTGAACAAAATTACAATTCCAGAATAATTTCAAACAGCAAATCCACAAATTATCCTCTCTCCAGCACTAACACTAGGATTACCTAATTCATCGATTCTCACTACACAGCAATTTTAATCAAATTCATTTTAACAAAACAAATTGAACGAAAAACAACAAAAACATCAAAATAAAAACCCTAGAAATGCGAGGTTTAAGTAGAAAAAGAACGAACCGCTGAGAATTTCTGTCAATTGGATCAACCTTAGAAAATTTGTGCAAAATACTAGAGAAAACGGAAGATTTCTTATTATCAGTAGGAGTTAAATTATCAAACTGAACTTGACGAGGAACTTTCTCGGGAGGAGTGTCAGTTCCTCGGATTTCTTCAAGTCGAGAAATAGATGATTTAGAAGAAGTACTGCTAGGTTTGTTAGGACCGCCATTGAAGCTCGACTGAGAAGGGAGGTTGTAGCGGTTTCCGGCGGCGTTGACCTTGTCGCCGGCGGTGGAGCTGCGGTTTTCCGGCGAGGGTTTCTGGAAGAAGGAGAGGATTGACCTTTGTCGTTGCATTTTGAGGAGAGAGAAAGAGAAGAAAGGTGGGAAAGTGGAAGAATTTTGAGGGTGTGAATTTAAGTAGACACCGTTTAAGTGTTCGCCAGAATTTTGCAGGAAGTTTTTGGCGCCATTTTTATGCCACGCTTAATTTGGAATTTGGACTTGCCCCCCTCCAAGAATTTTTTGGTGGATTTGCCCTAATTTTACTTGGCTTCTTCTTAATTTTTGAATTGGGTGATGAATTAATGATATACTAATAGAATGTGCTTCATAGTTTAGACGATTGCACCCTATAAAATGTATTTCATAATTTAGATAATTGCACCTATAAAATACAATTCGTATTAGTATGTATTTGTCATATGGCCATGAATTTTGTTACTTATTATGTATTTACTCCGTATTTTATTACTTGCTTCACTTTCTTTTTACGACTGTATTTTATTACTTGCTCCATTTTTCTTTTTGAGAACTCTTTCACAATCTATAACTAATACTAAAATAACAATAGCGGACATCATTCCTTTCTCCAAATTATACACATGTTAGCTTCTCCTATAATTTTTTCCCGCCTGATTTTTTTTTTTTTTTTAAAATAAACTAAGTATTGACTGCAAAGTAATTTTATACCATACATTATCTTAAGGAACATATAGAAAATCTTATAGAAAGCAAATATTAACCCTGTATATATGTGATTACTCCGTCTAATTACAAAGTCTACTAAGTTTTGTTGTAGACATGAATTTCTTTTGTTTATTATTTTAATTTTTTGTTGTTTGATTTATGTTAATACAAAGATTTTTACATGTTTTGAGTGATAATATGACTTGAAAATGTACACTTTTTTTATTATACTCTGTATCTGTGCATTGCACGAAAGCTAATCTAATGTTTTACTAATTTCTTGTCTTCTAGTGGACCCCCAACTATCATATTTTAATACCTTTATTTCTTTATTCTATCTCCTCCCAATTATCATATTTTATTCTTCCACTACCCCACTTCCTTCATATTTTAATACTTTCTACTATTCCGTACTTCTCCTAAAACTCCACGCATGGAGAAATCGAACAAGTAGTAAAATACGAAGAGAGTATACAATCAAGAAATTTACTGTAAGGTTTTTTTGTTGAGAAGTTCTTGTTAATTTTGGCCCTCAATCATAATCCTTTAAGATAAAAGAGAAAATCCCCCAAAATGTAAAAAAAAAACTAAGGTGAGGAATAGAGTTGGTGATCCATTATCCAACTATTAACTTGGTCTTCCTCTCCATAACATCTTATCTGAGTGCCTAAGATTGGCATGGGGTCAAAGACCTTCTAGCACAGGCACTGGCACAGGTATGCAGGCAAAAAGAAAAGGATTACGCTTGAAAAAAATAAAAAAAAAAAAACCCTATATTTTAAAGCAAGGATTACCCTTGAAAAAAAAGGCAATCCAAACTTCTTTGTACTTCCTTTCTTAAAATTTATACAACTCCAAAGTAGAGAGAATGTACAGCTTCCCCCTACTGGACTGAAATGTATACTCTACTCTATGCTAGTACTAACTTAGGATCAGCATGTCTACTCCTAGTACCGGATATTATTTTCCGTAAGGAGGCTGATAAGTAGATGTCGGGGTGGCACCATAATCATATGTTCCATACGCACTCTGCAATCCATAAGAACCGACAAACCGTGGCCCAACACTAGGACTAGGAGCACTGCCACCAGCTACTCCATACTGTTGTTGAGCAACCTGGTCAGCAGTTGGAGCAAGAGAAGCATCATACCTCTGACCATAAGTGGATGCAGTGAGTGCTGGATCATAGGCAGTCTGATTCGGTAAACTTGCCCCATAAGTTGATGCAGTGAGGCCTGGATCATAGGCAGTCTGACCAGACAAACTGTAGTGGCCCAGATATCTTGATACTGGGCTAAGAGCCGGTGAGCGTGAGACTGCATCACGCTGACCATACGTTGGGTGCGGACTCGGGAATTTTTGCATTTTTGCAGGACGTGGAGGCGGTGCACCTCTGCTCCGAGGGGGACCCCCACTGCTGTGAGCTCTTTTGTTAGAAGGTTTGGAGCTGTTGGATGCAGAACTTTTTTTCTTATCAGACTTTGCTTTCTCCAGCAAAGAAAGCCGCTTCTTCAAGCTATTAACAGAAAATTCAGCCTCAAGCTTATGGTCTTCAACACATCTGATGATAGACCTGGTGTAATTCATCTCAAAAGTGTTGGCTTCATCCTGAGATGTCAAGCAATATCTGTGGTCAGAACAAGAATTGCAAAAATAATAACATGGAAATCCAACAAAAAGGAAAAAACAAGAATCGTCCAAATTAGCTTACAGTTGCACCAGCGTTATGGTTGCCTTTCTTCAGTATTTCTGTGGTTTTCTTTTTGACATGGCGCAAAGAAGACTTGAGAAGGGACACAGGCTGGTACTTTTCAATTAAGCCAGACTCAGAAACGAAATATACTGCCTCAACTTCCTTTTCATTTTTTACCAACTGATCAATCAAATCTGTGAGAAGAAAATTCACCAGTGAAACAATCATGAAATGGCTTATCATGGGTAGCAGGAATGTAGTATACATTCACCAGTGAAACAATCATGAAATGGTGCTGCAGCAGCGCTAAAACAACTTTAAATGATACATATATGTCAACAAGAGTCCATTTTTACATGGTTTAACTAAATCAGTTTGTAATCCCAAAATCTGAAAATAAAAGTGTTCCAAGGGCATCATTGCAAATATGATCAAGTCACAGACATCAAAGGCATGAGGGGCACATGCTAAATAATATTCAATCTTCATCCATATGCCGTTATGGCTTTATCCCCACTAACCATTCCCCCACCCCAACTCTCTCTCTCCCTAAACAAAAAAAAAGAAGACAGAGAAAGAACAGGTAGAAAGGAAAGCAAGACGAGAGTCAACCCCATTAGAGAAACTGGAAAAAAAAACAAACCAAAAACAAAACCAAAAAAAAAAAAGAAAAAAAAAAACGTAATATGAAACCAATAGGCTTCAGCATTGTTACGTTGAAGAATCTCCAGCTTAATAACGAACAATCTCAATACCTATGGCCAAATAACCAAATTGGTATAAAAGGTAGCACCTCTTAGACACATTGGTATAAAAGTTGCCAATTGTGACAGATGAGTATAAAACTTAGTTTCGTGTGACAAATGAGTATAAAAATTAACTTCGTGAGACATTTAACCCATATTTCTCAATAGAGGGGGCACGTAAGGTATGTTTTAGTTTATTTTCTCCATTGATTCAAACTAGCAATGCTGAATAGTCAAGAGAAGAGATGGGAATATATGCTCAAATACCTTTGTCTAGTCAACAGATCGTCAAACCTTTCCATTCTGATAGAATATATATACTTCTTGGCAGATGGGATCTAGCAGCTATGATAATTAACAGGCAAGCTAACTGTAAGATTTTAATTCCCTTGTTGCAATGGAAGGTCCAATATATCCATCTAGACAGTCTTGCTTATGAAATCATTTATCAGTGTCTGCATTGACAACTTCCTAATCTCCTACTCCGTATCAGGAATACACTTTTGAATTCTTTCTGGCCCAAGAACTCAAATGTGTACACCGTCTATTTATCCATGAAAATAAAAGTGTGTAGGATACAAAGCACCAAGCTGCCAAGCTTGGTGATTTCCTACCATCGCAGCATACACCACAGTCTCACTCCAAACAATAAAGGAACATATTATTTATCCAAACAAGCAATGATTTCTATAAAAATTATGTGTAGGAGAAACAGGGTTGAAATTCTGCAATGGAGGTGATGATGGTTACCAATGTCAGACTTTCAGTATTCAACAACTTTGTATTTATAAAGTCTATCAATTCCCCTCACCAATTATTGACCATAAAGATATATCCCAATACTATAAGAAAAGAAAATCACCTTCAACAGAGCTTCAAATTGTCGATGACTACACGGAATAATCACTTTTGGTTCATGTAGCCGACCCCACTTATGGGATTAAGGCTTTGATTGATATATAATAGAACTTCAAATTACACGAAGTTATTACCAAGGTGCAAACAGTGGCTCAAAACCTCAGATGGTTGATTATAACAAGGGAATATCCAGCAATATTTGGTTACAAGATGTCCGCAGTCATGACCATGATCGTGGTCACAGTACAGTTTGTGGTGTAGCTGAGGTGACATCTCGTGGATGTAAGTCAGTAAGTGTGTAACACAGCGTTTCACGACCATAACAGCATGAAAAGACAAATTGGTAAATATTTCAGTCTGATTATTTTTGGATTATAGCTGACAATCTTGATATTCCATGATAATACTTTGTATACCTTTTAGAATTGAGCTCCTAATGAACTAAACACTCCACAAGTCCAAAAGGTGATGCTTTTCAACATTTTATTTCCACTTCAAGGTAAACCTAAAGGCCCTAAATACATTTGCCTTAGTATTCTCTTAATGATTATTGTGAATAGTGAAAATATAAATACATAAAAAGCAAAATACTTTTGCTCTATCATTCTCTATAAACTTCCATCAGCAATTTCATTAAGTATTTACCAAGTAACAAAAGGGAGGAGCATTCTATAAGTCAAACAAAATTCATGGCATGGCCATGTTTCCCCCTTTTTATCTCCATTAAACGCAAGATACGAGAAGAACGTGTACATTAGACTACAGAGCAAAGATTTGCAATATGCTCATTCTCCCAAAAACAAAGAAATAGACTGGCTCTTGAATGTTTCTAGCAACGCAATTAATCAATTTTGCTCTTTACAACTTACCTAGAAACTTAATAAAAAAGAAGCAGCTTTAACATTTTACAGCTAGATCAGTCTGTAAACCAATTCCATAGCTTCCAGTTCCATACACTTTAAATCTTCAATCCCACTCAAAAACTCCGTTCTAACCAAACAATAATCGGTGTCACAAAGAACAAGACTTTCCTCAACTCAATATATGAAAACACTATTACTAATAACACACCCTATACTCCTCTTACAATTCTTCTTCCCTCAATCCCTTGTACAAATACCAACTGCATAAATCGCCATGAATTTCAGCTCTCGATTAACATAACAGCCAATTCTTGGTACAACAAAACCAATCCGATAACATCTCACAATTTCTCAGACAAGATAGGTGCAAGCAATAAAAAAAACCAAAGTTACTCTCATTTCACAATTCTGCCTAATTGTCAATCAAAAATGTCACTATATCTTGTAAATAATGACAATGTCTCACCATACACACATTCACAATACTATAAAACACAAAGAAACAGCATAATTTAAAACATACATTGATACATATTAAATAAACTCCATTAAACTTCTAAAGTAAGAAGACAAACCTGCAATTTGATCACCAAAAATGGGTAAAGCAAGCTTAGCCATATCTCTCCTAGCAGCAAATTCCACCACCATATTCCTATAAAACTCCTCCTCAAAAATCTCCTTCAATCCAAACCCCACCACAACCTGCAAAAACATTGCCGCCTCGGCCGAACCCATACCGCCTTCCCCATCACCAACCTGCTCCGTTTTCTCTCTCCAACCTCTTACCACCTCCTCCGCCTCCTCCACCGTCTTCCTCGCAAAATCAACCCCAACACTCTTCTTCTTCTTCTTCTTCTTCTTCTTCTTCTTCAACTCCTCCGCCGGAAACAACCCCGTCACAACCACCCCACACGCCCACCGCTTATCCGCCATCCCTCGCATTCCCGCCTCCTTCGCCGCTAAAAACTCCTTCACCGCTTCTAGAACCATCCTCTCAGGGTCCACACACTCCTTCAACGCTTCCCTCATTTCCCACCTCAACGACGCCGTTTCCTTCCTCTTACCCACCACAAACCTCAGCAAATTACTATGGTCCATCCTTCTACACAACGACCTCAGAACCTCCGACAATGGCGCGGATTCATCTAGAGCTTTCTCGACCTCGGCAATGGCGGATTGCTTCTTAGACTCAATTTCTGAGGAGAGAGAAATCAACCGTTCTGGGATTGAAGTTTCGCGTTCATAGAGTTCTTCGAGAGATTTCTGGTGGGTTGAATCGAGATTTTGGAGGTTTGCTTCTAGGGTTAGGGTTTTGGAATCGATTGATTGTTGGAGATTGGTGAAATGGGAAGTTAGGGCTTTGTATAGGTCGGTGCATTTGCAGAGTATAGCTTTTTGAGTTTCGAGATTTTCGAAGATGTTATGGACTTTGTTAGCCGTGGTTGTTGCCGCCATTGATGGTGGAAGGAGGAGAGAGAGAGGAAGAAATTCAGTGGAGAAGAGAAGGTGACAATCTGATAAATTATGCGAGGGAAATATGTTGAAGACGATATTTTGTGGAAATTGGCCCATATTTCCAAGGATTGGGCTATACGACCTATTAAAACTAAACCATAGTCCTGCCCAGTCTAGTTATCTATAGCTCCCTTTATAATTTTGTACTCCGTATCATACTTCATTACTAGATGGAAGCCGTGCGATGCACAGTTTTTTCATCTATTTTTAATTATTTGATTTATTATATTTAATAATTTCAGACAACAAAAGCTTAATATTTTTTTTTAATATAATTTATAATGAATTTATTAAATATAAATAAATTGTAAATATGATATTTTTTCCATTATATAAAATCTTTAATGTGAAATGATAAATTTTTAATAATTTAAATCCTAAATCATTATTCATTGTTTTACCATATCTTTTATTTTGATAGAATCACCAACCTCGTCCACAACCAACCTACTACATCAATGGATAAAAATGTTAGCCAAACTGAAATTGATATAAATTAAATCTTTACATTTATATAAAATAAATCAATATATTTACCAATAAATGAAAAATTGTTGCGACAAAAAATCAAATCTATGCATTGGAATTTTTTCATCATCTCTAAAAATAACCAAAGCCATCCATATATTAAGTATACAACATCTAATCGTATATCATTACATAAACAAATAATTGTTAAGTATCCTAAATAAATACAATGTAACTAATTATAACAAATATAAATTTAAACATTATATTTTAAAAATTACCTGGACATTGGTGACCTAAAACTAACACAAAATTCGCTTGAAGGGGTATTGTATTGATATGAAATTTTATTTGTGTCGTATGATGTGTTAGATCTGCATGTAAAAAAACATTTAGTAAATAAAACATAAACATATAATCATTGAGTATCTCAAATTAATATAATGTAAGTAATAATTAGAAATACTAATTTAAACATAGGATTTTAAAAATTAAGCTAAAAATTACCCGACCATTAATGACCAAAAATTAACACAAAATTCGCTTGATGGGGTTTTTTATTGATACAAAATTTTGTTTGTGTCGTATGATGTATCACAAATTTTAATTTAATTATAATTAACGAAAAATTTGTATTTCTTATCATAAATACTATCAAAATTTATCTTATATGATAGGTTTCAAACTTTATTATAAGCGTTTATCATTTAATATTTTTTAGTATATTTTTTTGGATTTCTTATACTCGTAGTATTGAATTAATAAATTTATCTTTTCCTATATTTTTACTTTATTTTTTTCATTAAAATAATTTAATTCATGGATTATAATCTACGTGGCATTAAAATTTTGGATATATCAAATCTAATTCGTTACTTTTATCTAGGTGGCGATGCACGATTTTTTTTTCATACATAAATCTCAAGAAAAGATATCTTCTTATAGACTCTAAGTTTATTTTAACCTATATATATATATATATATATATATATATATATATAATTATTTGATTTATTTTACTATTTAATAATTTTAGACGAAAAAAACGCATAATAATTTAATTAAAGTGTTATTGCCTATTACAAAAGTATAAATTTTTTTTTTAATGTAATTTATTATGCGACTTTATTTATTGTTGTTTTGTATTTTATTCGTTGTTGTTAGTTATATGACAACTGAATTTAATAATATGAATAAATTGTAAATATCTAAAAAAAATTGTTAATATGATATTTTATCGATTACATATTAGGTTAAAGTCTTTAATGTGAAAAGATAATTTTTTTTTCATTTTTTGAATAATTTAAATCCTAAATCATTATTAGTTGTTTTTTAAAAAATAGAAATAATAAAAAATAATAAAAACATGTATACTATTTATCTTCTATTTCAATAGAATCACCTACTTCGTTCACACCCATATCTCTTCCATCTAATAAAAGTGGATAAATAAAACATGTTAGCAAAAAAAAAATTATGCAAAATTAATCGTTATAGTCTTTTAAAATAAATCAATAAATTTACCGGGAAGTGAAAAATTGTTGTGAAATTGATCTAAAAATTGTAATTGTACAAAATCAAATCTATGCATTGGAATTTTTTCATCGTCCCTAATCGCCCGAACAATAGTATTTTGGAAAATTGAATCATTATTTTGTCGTCACTGACAATGCGTGCAATATTGCTTCTTATTTGTAACGAATGAAAAGTATTTAATTGAGTAAACTTTTCTTTCAATTAATTTTGGACGAATTGTACAAAGTTGGCTTTAATAAAGGTATGAACGTAATCAAAATTAAGTTAATTTGATGACTTGATTAAGCTACCTAAATCACAACAAATTTGTTCTAATCATAAAATTAATTAATATAAACTACAAAGTAAGGTTTATAAAAAAATTTAATAAATGTAAACAATTTATAAAGATATAATACCTTCTCATCCAATAAGACCATCAGGCGAGAAACTTGTACTTTGATTTTTCAATCATTTTTGCTCGAATCTAATTCTCTGATTAAATCAGATCTGCGTGTAAAAACAAAATTTAGTAAACAAAACATAAACATATAATCGTTAAGTATTCCATTTAAACACAATGTAAGCAATAATCACAAATATACATGTAAACATGGATTTTAAAAATTAAGCTAAGAATTACTCAGCCATTGATGACTAAAACTGACACAAAATTCGCTTGATTTGGTTTTGTATTGATACAAAATTTTGTTGGTGTTGTAGGATGCGTCAATTTATAATGGTATGCATCACAAATTTTAGTTTATTTTTTATTAAGGAATAATTTTTATTTCTTATCATAAACACTATCAAGATTTATCTTAGATATATAAGATATATAAATCCTATATCTAAAGATGATTTTTTAAAAATAATTTTTAGTTTTTTAAATAAATTAAATCCTAATAAATCACTATTCATTGTTTTAACTACGTGGCAAAATTCTTAAATCTCATTCGTCACTTTTTCTTAGGTGGCAAGTGAATTTATTTATTCTAAAATAAAATACAAATCTAACTTTTGATTGGTCGAAATAATACCTTTGCTTATGTGGCGCGCCAAATGCTCTCGAAAAATGCCTACTTTATTTATATATATTAGATTATTTGGTACTAGTTGTTACTAGACCTGTTCAACAAGCCGGGTCGGGCTAGGCCGAGCTTTATATGAAATGGGTCGGGCCAAGCCTAATCCAAAATGGGCTGAGCTTGTCCATGGGCTATTAAGCCTAGCCCGGGCCAGCCGATTTAAAATGTATAAACAAACTACAACAACCATGAAGTAAACACAATATAAGAGAATTATAAAGGACCTTTCAGGGGCCTTATAAAAGGGCCTTAGAATTAAAATTACAAAGCAAATATATTGGTATTGTAAAACTCTGGAAAAGTACAGGATAAATCTCGGACAAAAAAATTTGAAATCCAGCACATTGTATTATGAAATTAGTTCATATCACCTACTATAGTACTATGAGAGTTATCACCATTAAGTAAAAGTGACAATTTTCATACTCGGTATTGGATATAATATGCAAATGTGCTAATCCCTTTGCAGCTCCAAGGGCAATCCTCGGTCTTGCAGGCCTTTCCATGGTTACTTGTAATTAGACCATTTAAAATTTCAATTAAATCAATGTCAATCACTAATTATAAGCATAGGAGCCAAAATGAGTGCATTTAAAAAGAGACAATGCATACACATATAAAAGAAGAGAACTAAAGGCAATAAGCTTACAATGAATATGGAACTCCATGGTATCGTTTGGAATGAACTCGTAATCCAGCAACCTATGTGCACCAATATTTCAATATCTCACCAAAGAAACATGATTTGTGATGTATTCGGTTGACAATTCCAGCTTATTCCTGAAATTTGCACTCTCTCTGTCCACTATCAGCACTAAGAGACTATGCACATCCTTATCATATTCCCAAAAATAAAGCACAAAATCAGTAGTAAATTACCCCATATGTAACTATGAAAACTCGAAAAGCTTCACAAATAATGGTATGACTATACCAAGAAAAATCAAAATTAACTAATTTATACCAAGAAAAACAGCAAGATTATAATAATAAGAGTAGAAAAATCAAAATAATTACCTAGTATAGGAAACTATCATCAACCTCATCATCATCATCTCCATCATCAGCGGCCTCATCATCATCCGAGCTAGAATCACGATCCAAATTTAAAGGGATGTTATATTCATCACGGCGTCAATCTTGAACACAAACTAGGGCTTGAGTCGTTAAGGGTTTCAATGAGCTACGATTAGGAGATATAGTTTCCCCCCCTACACTAAAAGCCAACTCGGAAGCCACCATACTAACCGAAATCGTTAGAAGATCTCGTGCCAATATTGCAAGCTCCGGAAATCTCACTACATTTTGTTACCAATACTCTAGAATATCTAGCTCCATGTTCAAATCAAGCTCCGACTCCTCCGAATATAACTCAAGTTGGGACTTTTTTGTTTGAATCCTTGTAATTCTTGAACTATAGCTTTGATAATCATCAAAGAAGTTTTCATTTTCAATCCTACTACTTGTAGTAGAGGGAGCAACAATTGGGGAAGTTGAAGATGTTGACTTATACTCATTATACAAAGATCTTAAAGTGTTCAAAACTTTTTCAACTTTATACATAGCCTCATCCGAACCATATATCTTGTCAAAACTTAAACCTGGGTCAAGAATTGCCGCACAAGCTAGATATGTTTTACTCGTACCAATATTTGTCAAATTTTTCCAACATAGGTAACACCATTTGAGCTAAAAATTCATGTGGACCTTTAGATGTCTCAAGTAAACGACGATGCACCATACATGCTCCCTTAAAATACATGTTAGAAGTTGGACACTTATTGGCCGAGAACATACACGTAACATCAAAAAAGAGTTTCAAAAACTTGTGAACAACACTCAATTTATCCCATTCATCCTTCAAAGTCACATTACTCTTGAAAGATGCATGTAATGACCCAAAATGAATAAACACGTCTTTATAATAAAGCACATTATCAAGCATCGTATATGTAGAGTTCCAACAAACTTGCATGTCCATACAAAGTTTCCTCTTAGCCTCTAAATGAAAATGGTTCTGAGC